CTCCGGGGAGGCTCTTGTGGGCCTCTTTGGGGCCTCTTGGGGCCTCGCGGGGCCCTCTTGGGGACCGCTGGGCTCGCTCAGGCAGTCTTGAAGCCCTGTCGGGGCTCTCCTGGAACCGTCTTGGGCGGCTCCTGGGCCATCTTGGGGCTCTCCTGGGCCGTCTTGGGACGATTTTGGGGGTCTCTTGGGCCGTCTTGGGGGCCTCTTCGGCCGTCTTGGAGCAGTTTTGGGAGACTCTTGGACGGTCTTGGGGCGTCGGAACTCCGAAAAAGCGAGAAGGCCGAAACCTAGAAAAAAACAATAAAAATCAACGATTTGGGCTTGTCGGGGCTCTCTTGGGAGGCCTCTTGGGATGCCTTCGGGGCCTCATGGAGCTCTCTTGGAACGTCTTCGGGCCTTCCTGGCAATTCCTGAGGCTATGTATGCGCGTCTTGGAGCGCTCGCGGGCCGTCTTGGGCGGTCTCGAACTGTTCCTGGCGGTCCCAGGGGCCCTCCGGGACGCTTCGGACGCTCCCGGGGGCGCCCTGCACACCCCATGGAGATGACAGGCACCGCCCCGGGGCCCTACTCCGATATATATATATATATATATATATATATATATATATATATATATATATATCCGCCGATCCGGCGTGTGAGTTTCAAGGAGTCTCAGCTACAGCCTCGAGGCTGAGCCTCAGCCTCTGGGGGGGTTGCCGGGGTGGCTCTGCCGGGGAAGGGGGGGTGGGGGGTGGTGGGGGGGGGGGTGCGAGTTTCCGGCGGATGCGTTTTTTGACACCCCTCACAAGGATCGTGGCCTCCGAGGGGGTTCCGAACTCGAGTACCACCCCTCCCGCACCAAGAGGCTCCGAGGAGGCCTCCAAGAGGCCCCAAGGGGCGCAGAAGAGGCCCCCAAGAAGCCCCAAGAGGCTCCCAAGAGACCCCCAAGAGGCCCTCTAGTGGCCCCAAGAGGCCCAAGAGGCCCCCAAGAAGCCCCAAGAGGCGCCCAAGAGGCCCCCAGAAGTCCCAGCCAACCACGAGATCCCAACCAGCATCCATGAGGCCTCTGACCCACCACCCACGCACGGTGGCGGGATAGGCCGACGGCCACTGGATAAATGCTGAGTGAGAGGAGGGGAGGGAAAAAGAGAGGAGGGACGAGGGCGAAAGAGGATCACATCAGTCGGAGCGCCCCAGATCGGCGGCACTGGCCGAAGGCCACTACAATATATATATATATATATATATATATATATATATATATACATATATATATATATATATAATCCAAACATTATGTACATATATGTATACATATACACATACATTTGGCCCCCCAGGGTCCGAATCTATCCATACCCACTGCCCGCAAAGGCCCTCGAAGCTCGATCCCCCAGGCGGCGGTTATGCATAGATCCCCACCTCGGACCTCAGCGGTCGAAAATCATAGGGGGAGGCTAAGGCATCTGCTGCGTCTGAACCCTTCGGGCTAAGGCATCGTAGGCGCAAGGCTCCCTTCGGGGCAACTGGCGGGCCACCACGTTTACAGCGCCAGTGGTGAAAGGCTATCAAGCAAAAGTGTTCACATTTGATTCCCGCCCATGGGCTGTTAGAAGAAGCGCCGATATCAATCTTCACATGCAAGCGCTTCCACAGAAACGGCCAACTCAACTTCTCGACTGTACTCAGGAGATGTGGCCTTATGGTCAAGCCTGCCTACATCAATTGAGATATGCTGACAACGCACACAAGGAGTAACAACGCCCACATTTAGGACGAAAGGCTAGCGCCGGAGACAGGACGAGGGAACACAAAACTTCGGAAACATTCCGCCGACTACTTAGCTATTTAGTCACAATTTGAACGCGCAGCGGAATGCGTTTAAAGATGATTGCATTTGGTCATTCGGCGCTTGACCTCGACAAAACGATGGGGTTCGAACTGGTCATGGGCCAACGAATGTTGACTTTCAGATGCGCAAGATGATCGCGTCCGAGAAGAAACATGACGTCACAGCACCAAGACAAATCCCGATGCGGCGCTAAGGTGACACCGAATGCGGACCACGAAAATGTCCCGGCTGCCCTAGGCACGCCCTCCACATTCATAGTAGTGTACGACTGCTGCATGTTGCGGTGATTGCCTAGATGCACGTGTTGTGTAACACGGTTGACGAACAAGTACTTCGCACGAGCTGCGAACTTGATGTGGGGTAGAAGTGTTTCGCGCTCACTCAGCCGAGCTTGATGACCTCATATCACGCCACTGCAACGAAGTAGCATTCCAAGACGCCATGGAACCACTACGGCACCAACGCTTCAGCCCTTTGCCGCCCCCTCACGAGGTGCACTCACACCACGCTTTGCGCCCATAGGAATGAAAATTCTGCATGAGCGTCACATTTGTACACCATGATTTCCTAGCCGCTCTCTTTAGCAATAACGGCCATTGCATCGATTTTTCTGTGGAGGCCATTCGAACCTACGGCACCCCGCATCTTCCTTCACGCCACAACGTAGTATCCCGATCAACGCAGGGAAACGGCGACAAAGCGGCAGACCGACACCACTGCTTCGCGACACCCTGCGTTCGCACTAATGCACAGTAGTACACCACATTCTCTGGAGTCAACTTACATATGTCCGTCTCCCTTGCGGCTCGCAATCCTTCGCAACCGTTGCGCTCGACGCGTTCAATGTTCTGTCCCGTATATATATATATATGTGTGTGTATGTGCACATATATATATATGTATATATATATATATATCATGTTTTCGCATAGGCAACCTGGCTAGCTTGACCACGTTGCTTCGCGACACGCCTTCGCTACACCACTCTCGTTACCGCACAATTACCGCGACGCCGCAATTCCGAACGACACCAGTGCTGGCACCTCGCGTCACCACGACACCACGGTTCTGCGCAAGCGCCCAGGGCGACGAGGACAAAATGTGGTTCCCGGCCCGCTCGCGGGCGTCGCCGCCGTCGTCGAAATTCTCCGACCGCCATCATCCGAACTTTTTTTCCGGCGGCCGAGCCACCGTTTCAGTCGCCAGTCGCCCGCCCACCGCCCCCGATGAACCGGATCTAGGAGGAGGGGGAAGGCGTCTTAGAAGGAGGCTGCTCCTTAATGGCTCCAGACCTTTGCTTATTTGCAGCAGTGCTTCCGGTCGGGGAGACTCCGCCTGCTCGAAACAGGCGCCAAGAACAGCCAAACTCAACTCCATGATGGAGGGGGGGGGGTGCGAGGGCCCGCGCCTATCGGCAAAACAATGGATAAGAAACCGATCACCTGATTGCGTCCACGGGGGCTTCCTGCCTCTGCGCCCATACCCTGCAGAGCGGACAGCAGCGGGCCCCGCCCTCCAAGGTATGAGCCCATGGGGTCAGGGCACTCGCGAGCGTCCCCGCCCGCTTGGCGGGACGAACCTTCCTGCCTCTCGGCTGCTGCTCGTTGGCTCGCTCCTCCTCCGCCTCCGCCGCCTCCTCTTCCTCCTGCTTTTGCTCCTGTTCCTCCTGTTCCTGCTCTTGCTCCTCTGGTTTCTCCTGCTCCTGCTGATTAATCTGATTCTCCTCCTCCACCACCTGCTGCTCCGCCTCCTCCTCCCCCGCCGCCTTCTCCTCTTCCTCCTCCTGCTCCTCTTGCTTCTGCTGTTCCTCGAACGCGTTTCTTTATTTTCGTAACGTAACGTAACGCCTCCCCCCGTCCGTGTGGTTCCGGTACCACAAGATCCTTTTTTTTGATGTTCCGTGATAGTAGCCGTCATCGGCCCCGCCCACCCCCCAGATGACGTCACGTTCCGCGCCGGCGGCGTCCATGAGAATGACCGAGGCCACCTAGGAGCAGCATGTAGGTGGCGATCTGCCCCACAGCGCCTGTGTACACCACAATTCTCGCGTGCAGCACGGCGCGCGTGTGCAACACAGCGGCTGCGTAAACCGCAACAGCCGTGTGCAACAAAGCGCCTGTGTACACCACATTGCTCGTGTGTACCACAGCGCTGGTGTACACCACAGCAAATGTGTACACCGTAGCAACCATGTGCAACACAGCACCTGTGTACACCACAATGCTTGGGTGCACCGCAGCGCTTGTGCACACCACAGCGCCTGTCTACACCACAAAACCCGCGTACAGCGCAGCGCTGGTGTACACCACAGCGCCTGCGTGCACACGGCGGGTTAGAAGGAGCATGTAGGCGAGGGAACATGAAAATGCGGATCGGCTGCGGGCAGCTAAACGCCACGCCAGGGAAGTGCTGCTAATAGAATGCGGCGTTTCTCCCTCTTCCCTCCTCCACCACTTCCTTCAGATTCTCCTCCCCCTCCTCTTAATCCTCCTCCTCCTTCTCCTCCTCATCATTCCTCTTCCTCCTGTTCCTCCTCCTCCTCCTCCTCCTCCTCCTCCTCCTCCTCCTCCTCCTCCCCCTTTTGTCCCGTTGACCATACCTTACCGCTACGACTGGGGCGTTATTCCTTCTGCCCCTCCTCCTCCTCCTCCTCCCCCTCCTCCTCCTACTCCTCCTCCGCCCTCACCCTTCCCCCCTGTTGTGCGGGTCGGCGCCACAGCGCGCGCGCATCTCAGCGTGCACCGCAGAATGGTCTATTGTCAGAGATACAGGGTTTTAGCAGGCGTGCGTGTGTGGTATCTGTGCTTATCTTGTTTGTTACAGCAGAGCATGCGTACACAGGGAGCCCTTTTAGGATCAAGGGTATTAAAGCATCCTTATCATCGATCCCCGCCCGCCTGGGCGGACTCTCATGGTAAGCGGAGCCTGATCGCTCCGGGACCTGCGCATCATAGGCCGCTGGGCTGGGCCGCCGCGCCCGGGCGCCCCGCGGCAGGCGACGGCCGCAGCCGCCGCCAAAGGTCGCCGAACCTCTTCTCCGCCGCCGCGGTCACCACCGCGGCAGTCGTGTCAGCCCACGACGACGAACCCTCCGCCGAGCCGGCCGAGGGCACCATCCTGTGCAACAACGCTGCTGCTGCTGATCATTCCCATCCTCACGAAGAAGATGTCTATCGAGCTGGACAGGAATGGAGTCCCTCAGTATGCAGGCCAGCCTGAGTATTTCAATGAATACGAAGAGCGAGCCTGGGATCTCTATCATGGCAGGACTGGCGAGAAGTCTAAGCAGGCCGCAACGGCGCTGCATCTACGATCAGGCCTTTCTGGTCCAGCCTACGAAGGAAGCAGTGCGCAAACTCAAACATGAAGAGCTGATAGCTACTGATGAGTCTGGAGAATCAAGGCAGGACGGGCTCACTCTTTTCCTCACGACGTTGAAGAAATAAGTTCAAGATATTGCGCCTGTCCGGAGCACCGAGATCTTCGACAAGGCTTTGTGCGGATCATCGGTCTGGCGCGACCGCAACGAGTCCATGGCCAACTACGTGACAAGGAGGCGAAAGGAGTTCGCAGAGTTGCAGGAGGTCAGCGCCACGACTACGATCTCAGAGGATATCCAGGCCGCACTGATCCTCAGATTCTGCGGCATCAGCATGAAGGAGCAAGCTGCAGTCCTCGCCTCCAACAAGAATGAGTACAAGCTAGCCGGCATCGAGTATGCACTGCGGGCTCAGTACCCAGCGGTACATCGACAGCAGGACCGACGCGCTGATCGCCGAGAGCGATCCGCCTACGCTTACGCCGCGTCGGAGCAGGACGAGAACCAGTCAGAGCTCGATCAGATCTATTACGAGGACGAGGACGAGGACGGCTACTACCAGGGCGAGGAGGACGACTACGAGCACGGCGAGGACGACGAGTTCGACATCGAGAACTACGTCGCGGAGAACCTCGACGAGCTTGGCACCGAGGAGGCAGAGGCCCTCGCCCTCGTTCTGCAGAGCCGCAACAAGATCTTCAACAAGAAGAAGCCGCCTAGGCGAGTGACTTCGAGCTTCCACGGTCGCGGCAAGGCCGGTGGAAGGGGGGGCCGTCGGGGAGGCGGCAAGGGTTTGACGACCAGGTCGCCCGCAGGGCGAGGAGGCAGCAGCAGTTCGAGTAGTGCTGTCCCTGGCTACGACGACCGACAGCGAGATGCTCGCCGACAGCACATCGCCAACCTGAAGAAGCGGACCCAGTGCTCCGACTGTCACCAGTTCGGGCACTGGCAGGGCGATGATGGTTGCCCTCGTCGGTCGAGCCGGAAGCCTACATCAGTGTCTCCAGCGAAGAAGCCCGCTCAGAACTACTTCGCGCTCGAGAAGCACGGGGGCAACGACGACGACAGCGAGCCGTCCGAGGTCTTCATGGTTCTGAAGGGCGAGATGGAGCACGTCTGCGAGCACGTGGCCGACGACGCCTGCGAGAAGGTCGTCCGCGGCGCCAACAAGACCACCAGGTACATCACATGCAGGGAGTGCGACCGCCACTTCACGCTCGCCCACCGCAACAAAGGGTTCGAGCTGTGGAGCTACTTCATGAAGGCCCTGATGGGCACGAAGTGGGGCCGCTTCCTGTCCCGCAAGGAGTTCGCGAGGCGGATTGCCCTGGTGGCCGACACCCTGATGGTCCAGGGTCGCCTCCCATCTACGTATCGGAGGCGGACGGGGGCGCCCGCGGCGCGACGCCTTTCCGGCAAGCAGCGGCTATTTGGCCGGCTGCCTGCAAGAGGCGACGGACCACGTGCACCTACACCGGCGGCCGCATCTGCGGCCAGTTCTGCGAGGCCGAGTGCTACTGGATCAGCACCGGCCGCGCCACCTACACCCGGGAAGCGCATCATCAAGGTCGACTTGACCCAAGGCGACCCCGAGCCGAAGCCGGGGCCGGAGCTGGCCTTCCTGTACGGCATCCCGCTTCACCAGAGCATCGAGCTGGTGGAGTTCCCGGATCTCGACGGCGTCGACCAGCTCAACCCGGTCCCGTACCCAGCGGAGGTCATCAACTTCGGCACGCACAAGGGGCGAACCTTCCAGGATGCGGCGTCCGACCCGGCGCTCATCTGGCACAACAAGTGGGCTCTGGACCAGGTCTTGGGCCCCGAGGCGGAGGATATCAACCTCTACTTGTACCGCTACGCGTATTTCCTCTACGCCATTGTGAAGATCGCGCGTGGCAAGTTCAACGTTGCCCCGCAGCAGATGATCGACGGTGACAAGAGGAGGCTCCCCGCCGACAACGATTGGATGGAGGTCAACGCCGGCGGCTTCACCATCCCGATTCGGCCCAACATCCATCAGCCGGACGTCATCTCTACCTACGAGTGCTCGGTCATGGCCGCCACTACCGGCAACGCCTTCTCGGCACACGACAACGACGCCGACGCCATGCTCGCCATCATCGACACTGGGTGCACGCGTACCATGCACGGTGAGTCATGGCGGGCAGCCTTCGAGCGTAAGCTCGCGAGGCGCGGTCTACAGGTAGTGAAGACCCCGACCTCTCGTACGTTCAGAGGGATCGGCGGCCGCACGAGGAGCACCACGGCGGTCCGTTTTCCCGTGGGCATTGGAGGAAAGTGTGGCGAGATTATGTCGTGTGAGGTGCCGGGCGACTGCCCGATGCTGCTCAGCAGAGACATGCTCACCAAGCTTGGGCTGAGCATGCGGCTTTCCGCTTTCCACAGAGGGCGATGTCGCCGATTTTGTCAACATCGGCGTCTACAACCTGAAGCTCCACCACACTAAGGTGGGCCACCCGGCGGTCAACCTCCTTGACCTGCCGAACGAGAACTACGAGACGGCCGATTGGGCGGCGCTGACGACGCCCGAGGATCACAACCTCGAGTACTACCCCGAGAAGTTCCACGTCGGCATCACCTACGTCGAGGAGAGCTCAGTTGAGCCTCTCCCCAGCTTCCTGGACATCGAGATCGGCGAGACTACGGACGACGAGTGCCTCCAGACGGTCGTCGACCACGACTACGGACCGGACGTCTTCGCCGCCGGGGCGATCGAGTGGGGCGGCAAGCGCAACCTCACCAACAAGAAGTCCAAGAAGCTCGAGCATTCCCTGCAGGCCATTGCCGTGCAGGATGAGGTGGTGCAGGCCGTCGTGGAGAAGCATCCGCCCAGGGCCCGGCTGCCCGCAGGTGCCGGGACATGGGTCAAGCAGACCTACGCTGGCCAGATGGGTTTGACAGTGCTCATGGCCACGATGGGCCTCTCGGTCGGCGTCCCACTGGACAAGCACACGGGCTGGGACGCTACCACCAGGCTGGGCAGGCAGAGGTACGACGCGGAGATCACCAACGAGGAGCCGTACTGCCTCGTGGTCTCGCACCCCTGCTCGCCGTGGGGCAACTGGAGCAGATTCAACATGGCCCGTTGCCCAGAGACCGAGAGGAAGATCTTGGCCAAGCGTGAAGCGAACCGCCCCATTCTCAGGCAGGTGGACTCCTCAGTGGACAGCCGAGTGCGGAGGGGCTTCCACGTGGCGTTGGAGCACCCCCAGGGCTCCGAGGCCTTCGACCAGCCGGAGATGTCAAGGATTCGTTCTCTCCTGGACAAGGGCATCCTGAGGAAGGTTACCTTCGACGGCTGCCAGGTTGGGTACCGCGATGCTGAATCAGGCTTGGCTCACCGCAAGCCCATGATGATCATTACCACTATGGACGCGCTGGTCGAGGCCCTTTCCGACAAGAAGTGTAGCTGCACCCAGCACGAGCAGCTAAAGGGCCGCAACAAGTTCGGGCCGCGCACCCTGCAAGCGGCCGAGTGGCCGGAGGAGCTCAACCACATCGTCGCCCGCAGCATCGTACAGCAGGCCATCGTCGACAACGCCACTGACACCGACTGGCCGTTCCCTGCAGAGGACGGTCCAGACCTTCGTGGGGCAGTTGCAGCCATGGCGCAGCCAGCGCCACCGCCTGACCCGAACGTGCCTGAGCCTGCTCCTCCTCCAGCTGATCAAGAAGCTGTGGGGGAGCCACCACCTCCGCCAGCCGTCGATCCCGACGGCGAGCGAGCCCGAGAGGCCGCTCAGCTCGGCACCATCACCAACACCAAGGAGGCCGAGCGGCGCAGGCGATGGCTGGAGGCCCCGCCAGAGGTCAGGAAGGCCATCCGCCAGCTCCACGTCAACTTCCACCACTGTTCGAACGTGACGCTGACCAGGCTGCTGAGGCGCCGAGGAGTCAAGCCGGAGGTGCTGAAATACGTGGAGTTCTTTTCCTGCGACGCCTGTGGCGACGCCGTCCGTGGGCGCGCCCCACGACCTTCGCGGTTGCCAGGTCAGTACGTGTTCAACTACGCCATCCAGCTGGGCACCTTCCACGCCTACGACGCCGCCGGGAACCCCTACTTCTTTATGAACTGTATCTGCGAGGGGACGAACGTGTACTGCATGGGCCCGGCTCGTGGATCACCGACAGCACGTGCCACTACTAAGGCGTTCACTACCAGCTGGACCCCGTGGGCTGGCTACCCAGAGAAGCTTACGGTGGACCTGGGCAAGGAGTGGATGAAGGATTTCGCCTCCAACGCGAAGGCGCATGGCGTGCAGGTCGACCTGGCTCCGTTGGAGACGCCGCACCTCATCGGCAAGTGCGAGCGCCGCGGGGGCATTTGGAAGGAGATCTGGCGACGTACTGTCGCCGACTCGCAGGTTACAGGACTGGACGACGTCGAGGAGACTGCCTCCATCGTGACCCAGGTCAAGAACGAGCTGGGCCGACGCGGGGGGTTCTCCCCTTCGCAGTGGGTCTTGGGGTCTCATGGGCCCCGTGTCCCAGGAAGCCTCCTACAAAACGACGAGGCGCAGCGGTTGGAGGTCATCGAAGCGTCGCTCGACCCCCAGTCTGCCATGGCCCGCGCCATGGCCCTGCGCGAGGCGGCCCGCATCGCACGCGTCCGCCTCGACTCCGACGACCGCGTCAAGCGCGCCATCCTGCGCAAGGCGCGGCCTAGCCGAGGCCCTTTTAACATTGGGGCCATCGTGTACTTCCGCCGGTCGCAGACCCGAGTCGGCGAGAGCCCCGAGGTCACGCACCGCTGGTTTGGGCCAGCCCGGGTTATCGGGCATGAGGTGCGCGACCCACGTCACCTCTCTCGCGACGCGGACGAGCCCGTCGGCACACTGGCCCATGCAGTGTGGCTGCGCTACGGACACACTACCGTGCTCGCAGCTCCTGAGTCGCTCAGGTTCGCCTCTGAGGACGAGCTGCTCGCCATGCACACCTACGTGAACCCAGACCTGTTGCCCCTTCGGTCACTGATGGGGGCCAGGCACTACATCGACATCCGGGCCGATGCAGCAGCAGCCTCGCCCGCCCCGATGCCCAGGCCGCAACAGCGCGCGGCTGGTCACGGAGGGGTGGTTGGGGGCGCGCTCGGATCTGCCGGACCAGGACCTGACGTAAATTTCGATTTCGACGAGTTCAACACCGAGGACCATCTACCACAGCAGCGGGTCGATCCTCCACCGCCGGCACACGAAGTACCACAACAAGCATCTCCAATCATTCAGGAGACCGACGACGCACTACTACCACCGCCAGCTCAGCATCAGCCACCTCCTGTGGTCCCTGAGCCACCACGCCCGGGGCTACCAGAGGCAGAGGGGCCGCCGCGCTCGTACGGCCCAGGGGAGCCCAGCATTCATTCCGAAGTTCAAGGTCATCGGATCGATCCTCGAGTATCCCAGGAGGCTATCGACAAGCCGGTGCCCCCGGATGGCGAGGCTGTCGACAAGCCGGTGCCGGACGACGAGATGGGCGCGGGCCTGGAGCGCGGGGAGAAGCGCGGAGGCCTGTCACTTACCCAGCTGGACAAAGCCATGCGCAATCCGGAGCGTCTGGATTGGAGTTCCATCAAGAAGCCTCGTACCTTCCAGGGCTACGTGGAGGAGGAGTTCAGCGTCATGGAGGATGCCCTCCACGAAGTGTTCCTCACCAGCGACTACAAGCCGGACCTGGCTGTCGCCTGCGAGTGGCGTCGCACCGACTACGGCATCAAGAAGTTCATCACTACGGACAAGCGTGGCCCTCGCTGGTCCAAGGTGCTTCGCCGCATCACCCTGGACATCAAGACAGGCATCGTGATCGATGACATCGACGTCAGAGGTCTTGCTCTTCGCGATGCTCGCCTTCGTCGGCCTCTGCCTGGTGGCACCACCGCGGTCGAGACCATCTTCGTTCACACCGACGAGGACGTGGGCACGAACGACACAGTCGAGTTCGCCTATCTCACCAAGGGCGCGGTCCGCTCCGAGATCAGACTTCAAGACCTCGCCCCAGAGCAGAGGAAGAAGTTCGATCAGGCTATGGCCAAGGAGTGGCGCAGCTGGACTGAGTTCCAGGCCGTCGAGGTGCTGAGCTTTAGCCGGGCCAAGGAGCTCCTCGACAGGGGTGCCTCCCCAGTTGGGGCGCGCTGGGTCCACGCGGACAAGAACGCTAAGAAGCGCAACCTCGAGCAGACCTACGACGACATCCCGCTCGCTGCCAAGAGTCGGCTCGTCGTGCAGGGCTGCCAGGAACGAGGAGATGATATCCGAGGCGACGCTCCTACTGCTAGCCTTTTGGCTTTCCACCTGGTCGCCAGCTACGCTGCCTCCCACCGGTGGCAGATAAGGGCAGCTGATGCTGCGACGGCCTACCCGCAGTCCAAGGGCATTGAGCGCATCCTGCTTCTTCGAGCCCCTCGCCATCCACCACCTGGAGTTCCGGGGGGGCCCTGCATGCGCGCCCGCGGCGCAATCTACGGCACCAAGGACGCGGGCAGGCAGTGGTGGCTGCATCTGCGCGCCATCCTCGTGGAGCAGGGTTGGCGCGAGTCCATCTACGAGCCCTGTCTGTTCATGCTCAGGGACAGCAAGGGCAAGCTCAACGGCTTGCTGTGCGCGCACGTCGACGACCTCTTCGCCACGGGCGCGGGCGAGCAGTTCGAGCGCGTGATGGAGATCATCAAGGATAAGATTCGCCTTTCCTTCCAGTCCGATACGTTCAGGTACTGTGGCAAGGTCGTGGAGCAGGACAACCAGACTTTCGACATCAAGATCGGACAGGCCGCCACGGTCGAGGCGCTGGAGTACATCACCCTCGAGCCGCACCGCCGGCGCAAGCCCAATGCGCCACTCACCCCGGAGGAGATCTCTGAACCTCCGTAGCGGTGTTGGGTCGCTTGGCTGGGTAGCACGGCAGACGCGCCCCGACCTGGCCGTCCACGCTTCACTTGGGGCTCAGGCCATGAGTGGCCCCAAGATTCGTGACATTGTTGCAGTGAATCGTGCCGCCAAGATGGCTAAGGACGACGTTGATTTCAAGCTGATGTTTTCATCCCGCCTGGACTGGGACAGTGCCATCGCGTTTGGCTGCGGGGGCAGCAGCCATGGCAACATTGACGACCTTACGCTAGGAGAGAAGGTCAAGTCGCAGTGCGGCTATATCATCGGCATGGCGTCGCCCGACCTCGAGACGGACGCCACCGCGATCATGCATCCACTGGAATGGGCTAGCGCGACGATCAAGCGAGTGGTTCGTGGATCGCTAGCAGCCGAATGCAATGGTTTCCTGACGACAGCTGAGAGTGCGGAGTTCCTCAAGCACGCGATTGCCGAGATATCCGACCCCGGCTACTCATCCTACCAGTTCGACCCGTTCTTCGACGGCAAGCATCTGCTACTGCTGACGGACGCGAATGGCCTTGTCACCTCCCTGGAGAAGGATGGTGGTCAGCCCGCTGACAAGCGAGTACGGATCCTGATGGCCCAGATCCGACAGCTACTCTGCCATGACGTGCTGAAACAAGAGCGAGAAGGTGACGACTGGAGGATATGTGTCAGATGGATCGACACGAAGCTGATGATCGCGGATTATTTGACGAAGTCCGAGGCTGAGAGGAGTTTCTTGCTAGAGCGGCTGTCTGAGGGCCGCTGGTGTTTAGCGCAGACGAAGGAGATGCTCGCTGCTAAGGCAGCGGCAGGCGAGGCGCGCCGAGCCCGCAAGGCCCGGCCTGGTGATGCGGAGGGGTAGTCCTCCGATTTTCGTTTCCCTCCTTCTCCTCCTCTGTCTCCTCTCCCTCGTACCGTTTGGTTTGCATCCATATCGTTTATGCCCTGTGGTTTATAGTTCCATATTTGCACGCCTGTTTAGGCACCGCTCTGCCGATTTTTTGAAATTTTCCCCCTTGAAGGCAGTGGATTTCATTACATCATTTGTTTTCTATATGACTAATGAAGCTTAGCCCCCGCACTGTTTTTGGGGTCCGGACAAAGGTCCGCCACTTTTTTTGTCTCCGATTCCCCCGCCTTCCAAGATTGTGCCCGACGAGGACAAGCCTCGATGGTCACGGAAGGGTGTCAGAGATACAGGGTTTTAGCAGGCGTGCGTGTGTGGTATCTGTGCTTATCTTGTTTGTTACAGCAGAGCATGCGTACACAGGGCGCCCTTTTAGGATCAAGGGTATTAAAGCATCCTTATCATCGATCCCCGCCTGCCTGGGCGGACTCTCATCTATTGAATCAGTGCGCTTGGATTTCGGACGGCCAATTATGCTGAAGCCTCCTGGACGCAGATGGGAGGAGTTAGGATGATGCGGGAGGACTCGGGAGGACTCGTAGATTCCAGCGGCGCTCCTTTTCCCATAGGGATTCCGTCCCAAATCCAAAATCGCGCACGTGTTCTCTGTGGAATCCACAGGTGCTCCATTTTGTGGTCAGGATTCCCTCTAACATTCTATGTGCAACAGTGGCGCGCTGTGCTGCGCACAACTGGTGTGGTGTACGCAGGCGCCGTGGTGTACACAAGCACTGTGGTGCCCGCAGGCACTGTGGAACACACTAGCGCTGTGTTGCACGCGGCTGTGGTGTAGATTGGCGGCGTGGTGTAATGAAGGATGACGGTTCACAAAAAATAAGGGGAACGATCAAAACATAGTTTCTCTTTGTTTTCGCTCTGGTTTTTCAAAGGGAGGGGGACGATTGGCAACTATGTCTATCACACGTCGGCTTCGAATATTGCGTCGAATATGCTTTTCACGTCGTCGTCAAATCTTACATTCATTAATCACTCGGCATCGGCTAACAATTTTACGTCAAATACCAATTCTACTTACGTCAAATACTCGTTCCACGTCGGCTTCAGACGTGAATGATGTATACTGATGCTCATTTGACGTCGGATTCACATGTTTCGTCAAATGCAAAGTACACGCCGAATTGACTTTTACCATAAACAATCAATTTCACGTCGGCTTCATATTTTACGTAAGCCCTCCACTTCGGCTCCGTCTGGCTGTCCGGGCGCGCGCCCGAGGACGGCAAGGGGGGAAAGATTTACAAAAAAAATAGTTTCCCAGCCCGCGGCCAGTTTTTTCCAATCGTCCTCCGGGGCGCCGCCGACGCAACACGACCCGCGGCCCTTTGTTATTCGTCATCCTACATGACGCAAGCGCTGAGGCGCAGATCGCCACCTACATGCTGCTACTGCCCGTCCTCGGTCATTCCTGGCGGCCATCATCGGCCCGGACCCCAACCAGAAAATAGTTTCGTTTGGTTCGCGTTGTGCGTGCGGGCGAGGCGAAGCTGCGTGGGCCCACGAGAGGAATGAACCCGCCGTTGCTGGGGCGAAGTCAAGACAAATGATTATCCCCCGTCCGTCCGTCCGTCCAGCGGTGGCTCGCGGTGTCCCGCGGTGTCCCGCGGTGTCCGCCGTTGCTGGGGCGAAGTCGAGACAAATGATTATCCCCCGTCCGTCCGTCCACCGGTGGCTCGCGGTGTCCCGTGGTGTCCGCCGCTGCTAGGGCGAAGTCAAGACAAATGATTATCCCCCGTCCGTCCGTCCATTCAGCGGTGGCTCGTGGTGTCCCGTTGGTTGAGATTGATAGTGAGATCGATGGTTGGATCGATACTGAGATCGATGTGGTGCCCCATAGTGTCCCGCGGTGTCCCAAAAAGTGAGCTCGATAGTGGGATCGATAGTGAAATCGACAGGTGTCCCGTGGTGTCCTATGGTGTCCCGTTGAGTGAGATCGAATGTGAGATCGATAGTGAGATCGACAGGTGTCCCGTGGTGTCCCGTTGAATGAGATCGATAGTGAGATCGATCGTGAGATCGATGTGGTGTCCAGTGGTGTCACGCGGTGTCACGTTGAGTGAGATCGATAGCGGGATCGATAGTGAGATCGACAAGTGAAATCGATGTGTTGCCCCGTGGCGTGCCGTGGTGTCCGATGGTGTCCCGTTGGCTGAGATCGGCAATAATATCGATAGTGAGATCGACAGGTGTCCCGTGGTGTCCGGCGGTGTCACGTTGAGTGAGATCGATAGTGAGATCGATAATGAGATCGACAAGTGAGATCGATCAGTGTCCCGTGGTGTCCCGTTGGGTGAGACCGATAGTGGGATCGATTGGGTCAGATCTTGGTTCCACGCACCCTCTCCCCCCCCACAACCGGTCCCAGGTGCAAAGGGGGCCTGGTGCATTTTGTGTGCTCCTTTTTTATAAGGGTACCGATGCGAAACTAACCCAAACGCCTCCCCCTCTCTCTATTTGTTTTGTTTCTCTCTCTCTCTCTCTCTCTTTCTATATTCCTCTTGTAAGCCTCCGCCTTTGAGTGGGGGGTTCCTATTGAAAGCTTCTACATAAGGATTCCGATTGAAAGCCTTTACAACAAGGGTTCCCATTGAAATCCCCTGCAGAAGGATTTCAATTGAAAGCTAATACAAAAAAGGGTTCCTATTGAAAGCCTCTACAAAAGTACCTATATCGTAAGCTGATACCAAAGAATTCCTTTAGAAAACCTCTACAAACGATTCCGATTGAAAGCTTCTACCAAAGGGTTCCGGTTGAAAGCCTCTACAAAAAGAGTCCCATTGAAATTCTCTACAGAAGGATTCCTATAGAAAGCCTGTGAAAGGATTTCTATTGAAAGCCTCTACACAAGGATTCTTACTGAAAGCGTTTAGAACAGGATTCATTTTGAAAGAACCGATGCAAAAGGATGCATTTTGAAAGCCTCTACAAAAGGATTCCTACTGAAGTCCCTTACAAAAGGATTCCTGTTGAACGCGGATGCAAAATGATTCTGTGGCTTGAGTCAGAGATGTCGAAGGTTGTGTGGACCCCTCCATTGGACCTAATCTGAAGTATCTAAGTCAGCACTCTCAGCCCAGGTCTCCACGGCAACTGCTTCTGAATGTTTGATAGCAATGTCCACTGGTATAGGGTATGGCTTGCCTCTCTTGTAGGGCAGATGCAGCTTGTCACGAATAAGCGAATCGATAATCGTACACAATCGTTTCTCGAAGCGTGGGATTGTGGTCTCAAGCTTTCGTTGTCCAGGCATGTGAACTACTGCAAGTAAGTCCGCTCAAGCCTTGAGCCAAAATGGTCAAGGATGTAATGTGCAGCTGCGGTGTCGCCACACTCAGCCTATGAAGAGAGGTGTCGCCACGCTCACTTCCAAAGACGCTAACTCTACAGTGCTTCATTCGTTGCGAAAAATGCGTACGTTAGCTCAATGTGTGTCGTGCGCATTGGAAGGGGGGCACGATCTGACCGCCCCCAGGGGCGCCACAAGTCGTCATGACAAACGTCACGCGCACGGGCTGACATGTTCTAAAATATGTAGAACACGTCCACATCGTATGATCTGGAGTTTTTGCGCGTCAGTGAAAACAACGAACCACGAGCCTCCTCACTGCGCAAGCAAATCCTGGCATCTGATTCGCATGGCCCGCACCTACGAAACGCCTCTGATGGCATCCAAGGCTTCAGTCAACTCGTCGCTCGGCCCACTGGCCAAAATGTCATCGACGTAGAGATCCATGATGCATACCTTGGTGCCGTCCCGCTTGATATACACTGCGTCCACAACATCCGGAATGACAGTCCAGCCGGCTGCAGTGAAGACGCTGTGCGCCTTCTTGGCCCAATCAAAACCGGACCTCTGCAATCCGTTCAAAGCATTACGTAAGCGCAACACGGGCTGCTTGTGGCCTTTCTCGGACCACCATTTCGGCCAAAGACTCGGAAGCAATGCAATCCATACCGGCCGTCCTCCGAGCTGGGTCTGAAGATAGGCGCCTGTCACATCGGCCTGCAAGAGCGCGTGCGTTGGAGACGTCGTAGCCCACCAACACGCCAGACGAACAGCTTCGAGACTGGTAGGTGCACCGTGCAAGTCCTTCTCCCTGTCGTGCCGGCCGCGCTGGCCAAGAAGACGGTCGCCTCCCGCAGCGACGCGCGCCTTCCACTTCAGGAGGTAAGCCTGCAGCGGATCCAGCACGTCGAGCCCGGAAGACTCCGTGTCCTTGCAGCCTAGAAGAAGATGGGCGTACACCACAAGAGCATCAGGATGCAGAAAACGAAGTTGCCATAGCTCCATGACGGCGTCGCATGGGCCCCAAACCTGGAGCTCCTCCATCGTGGCCAACTCCTTCCGGACGGCGGCCTGAGCCTCCGGTGTCTGGGCGGAAGCGGACTTGAGAGGGACAGCCTTGTAGGCCATGCGAAACCCCTTTCACCGCCTCCTCAGACGAGGTGGTTCTCTCCCCCACCTTGCCGTTGATATGGCCGGCAGCCGAGGCGAGATTCTCAGGCTCGTGGAAGTCTGGGCCAACAATGGATGGAGCAGGCTCGACCGTGTCAGGTGCAATCAACGTGCCATCGGGGCTCCCTTGACCAGGGGTCGGCAGACCGGGGGCTGGGGCCTTGTATTTTGCAGCTGTTTCGGGCGCGCAAGCTCTGACTCCCAAAGGCCCTGTCATGCGCCCAGCCCAGATGTTCAACATGATTTCCACGCCGTGCCCAATATCCCACAGGGGAGGCTCGTGGCTGGACGCACCCACACTTGCAAGAAACAACAACTGCAATGCAGAAACAAAAAAAACTGCATTGCAGATTTTCAGATGTCCCGCAAAAGTGCTGCAGAACAAAAAATCTGCAGTGCAGAGAAAAAACCTGCAATGCAGAAAAAATCTGCATCGGAAAGGTCCTGCAGCGGCAGCGCGGCTTGCCTGGCCCTGGCGTGG